GCACTGATATTTTCCGCAACCTGACAAGGAGTTGAAGGCGGTGTATCCCTCTTTCAAAACCATGGTCCAACAGCCTGGTTGACCAGTCCAGCAACCAGGAGGCCTGGTCGACGACCGGGTAGATAGAGTCCCAGACCCCTCAGTCGTTCCTCCTAGAGTCCCAGACCCCTCAGTCGTTCCTCCTAGAGTCCCAGACCCGTCAGTCGTTCCTACTAGAGTCCCAGACCCTAAGTCGTTCCTCCTAGAGTCCCAGACCCTCAGTCGTTCCTCCTAGAGTCCCGGACCCTCAGTCGTTCCTCCTTGAGTCCCAGACCCTCAGTCGTTCCTCCTAGAGTCCCAGACCCTCACAGTCGTTCCGCATAAACTCTTTCCCCCAAGCACCAAACTTCGCCCAATGCCAAGAAAAAGTTGTCAAAAGAATTTTCCAGCTGACAGCCGCATTGATCAGGTGACGGGAGGAGGTAACTTGAAGCCCCTGCACGGCCCATGAAACATTCGCGTCAAGTTTGGCGTTCAAGTTGTACGCCGTCGCCAAGGTTTACACTAACTTGCCACCAAAGGTCATTTTTACCGCGAAATTAATTATAGAGGTTGAGGGAGGCAAGTTTACCAGGCCAGCTGGCGTGATGTGTGGTGGTGGTGGTGGTGCGTTAGCGATGCGCGCATAAAATATGCGCGCCTTACCTTGCGTCGATTTTGGGGCTCCACGTCCCCGCGGCCCGGTTCCTGACTAGGCCTCCTTGGGGGAGGGGAGGGGGGGGAACGGGGGGGAATTATTCACAACGAAGACGTCTCATGTTTCGTAGATCTGTACTATGGGTTAGTTTGGATAAAGCATAAAGCAGTATCTCCCTACTTTTGTTGTCATAGCCACTACCACCGTCCACCACCACCACAGTCCCTACCACTGCCGTCCACTACCACCATCACCGTCTACCACTACCGTCCCTACCACCACCGTCCCTACCACCACCGTCCCTACCACCACCGTCCCTACCACCACCGTCCCTACCACCACCGTCCACTACCACCACCGTCCCCCTACCACCACCGTCCCTACCACCACCGTCCACCACCACCACAGTCCCTACCACTGCCGTCCACTACCACCATCACCGTCTACCACCACCGTCCCTACCACCACCGTCCACCACCACCACAGTCCCTACCACTGCCGTCCACTACCACCATCACCGTCTACCACTGCCGTCCACTACCACCATCACCGTCTACCACTACCGTCTTATCACTACCGTCCACTACCACCATCACCGTCTACCACCACCGTCCCTACCACCACCGTCCCTACCACCACCGTCCCTACCACCACCGTCCCTACCACCACCACCGTCCCTCATAGCTAATGCCCACAATCCGTGAAGATCATCTTTACCCACGTCAACACAGGTAGATCACAGAACACGGCCATGCGCTATATAAACATAACAGTTTGTAAACAAATCCACAATCGTTCGAATCCTCGTCACGGCCCTTGTGGATTTGTTCATTTGATGCATCACGTTAGTGTGATCTCTGTGTGTAATAGCAGTTTGTGCTACGCAAGAACTCTCTTACGAGTCACCGAGTGACTCCCTTACGTCACTCGACTTACGTCACTAAGAGTCACACTCTTACGAGTCACTAAGCATCTGGGCATCTTTGATGCTTACGACCCCCACACATCGCACTATCCACCACTCAAATACGGAAATTAATGAGGCTTGTTAAGTCTACAGGACGAGCTCTCTCATGCTGTACATCTTCTTGAGATGATTTCGGGGCTTTAGTGTCCCCGCGGCACGGTCCTCGACCAGGCCTCCATCCCCAGGAAGCAGCCCGTGACAGCTGACTAACACCCAGGTACCTATTTACTGCTAGGTAACAGGATTGTATATATATAGGTTACATCACAACAATCATTACACAGGAGAGCGGAGGGTAATATATAATCCTGGGAACAGATTCACGAACCAGTTACGCAGGCACTTACGAACGTGTACATCTTTCCTCGACCATTGACAGCTTTGGTTACATTTATTAAACAGTTTACAAGCATGAAAACTTGCCAATCAACTGTTGTTGTTGTTATAAACAGCCTCCTGGTGCTTCGGAGCTCATTAACTGTTTAATAATTGTAAACAATGCGGCCAAAGATTGAGAAGAGATATACAGGTTCGTAAGTACTTGCGTAACTGCTTCGTGAATCTGGCCCCCAGGACGTAAAGGCACTAATGAGACAACGTTTACTCCGGATGAGACCATTCGTACGCTACTCTGCCACATCAACTATAAGAAAGAGCAACGTTGTCAAGTTAATGTAAACACGTTAACATTGTTTGGAAGACAGAAGAGTTAGGGGGGGACATGATCACCACATTCAAGATTCTCAAGGGAATCGACAGGGTAGATAAAGACAGTCTATTTAACACAAGGGGAACACGCACTAGGGGACACAGGTAGAACCTGAGTGCCCAAATGAGCCACAGAGATATTAGAAAGAACTTTTTTAGTGTCAGAGTGGTTGACAAATAGAATGCATTAGGCAGTGATGTGGTGGAGGCTGACTCCATACACAGTTTCAAGTGTAGATATTATAGAGTCCAATAGGCTCAGGAACCTGTACACCTGTTGATTGACAGTTGAGAGGCGGGACCAAAGAGCCAGAGCTCAACCCCCGCAAACACAACTAGGTGAGTATAACTAGGTGAGTACGTATGGCATGCCAACGTCGACGTCATTACCCACTTGCATAATCCCAGGGATAATATCCCAGGGATAATATCCCAGGGATAATATCCCACATCCCGTTGCTCTCTTCAGATTTAAGCCGTCCTTATCTTCTCCCTATCCAACAACATGGACTGGACGGTACAGCGACGACCTCGCTTTTTGCAGGTCGGCGTTCCATCCTAATCGGTCCCAAAATGGTTGGGGACCGTTCCCTCATTCTCATATCCCATCTATACTATCCTAAGATCTCTTCCATATGCTGTATCTTGAGATGATTTCGGGCTTTAGTGTCCCCGCGGCCCGGTCCTCGACCAGGCCTCCACCCCCAGGAAGCAGCCCGTGACAGCTGACTAACACCCAGTTACCTATTTTACTGCTAGGTAACAGGGGCATAGGGTGAAATAAACTCTGCCCATTGTTTCTCGCCGGCACCCGGGATCGAACCCGGGACCACAGGATCACAAGTCCAGCGTGCTGTCCGCTCGGCCGACCGGTTCCCATTGCTCTAGACTTCAGACAAGGAAACTTAAACTGTCGAGCTAATGAAAGCATCCTCCTATTATTTACAACACACAGCACCGTTCCTGTGCCAGGTAAGTTACGGGCTCACCATAGCCCGTGCTACTTGGAACTTGTTCAGAGTAGCTGAATCTATAACAACATCCTATTACTATAATTTACGAGCTTTGAGTTCGTATCGTTAGCTAAATACTTCATATTATGAAGTATTTAGTATTAAGTAGTAAGTATTAAGTAAGAAGTATTAAGAAGTAAGAGAGCATTGCAACAAGAACAGTCAAGACAGCATCGTGCAGTCTTCCCAGAACAATAATTACGACAGTGAGAAGAAAATAAGCCAATTATGATATAATCATTTGATGGAATGTCTGAGCACACAATCTAGGTTATTAGCGCATTAACGTTTATAAAATCTTATGGTTTCATCTACATCTCGCACGGAAGCTGGTGATGCGCCTATTATGAAGCATCAATCCCTCATCAACTGCCAACCACCACCACCACGCCATCAACCAGCCTCGGCTACATCAACCACCACCCCCTAGTAGCACTATTATCACTTGGAATAAACCTGGACCTTTGGAAAGGTCTTCTCTTTCGATCAGCACCTATGATGGGAAGTGTATGGGTGGGGTAGGGGCATTCACCCCTATACCACACCCATACACTCTACCCCAGCTGCACCCACCACCACTTCTACCACCACTATTACCACTGCCAACTTCGTTACCACCACCAACACTGCCAGGGCCGCTACAGCCCCTTCCAACACCGCTACCACAACTGCCACCATCCCGCATCATAACACAAACAGCATTAACACTGCTACAATAACTGCCCACTGATGCCTGCACACCACCAACCACTTAAGACCATTGGGGCACCACCACCACTTCCTTAACACCACCTCATTGAGGTCCGTCCTGCAGAATGTAGACGCTAGTGTGGCCGGGTGGCTGGCCGGTCGAGGGGCTGGCTGGCCGGATGGCTGGCTGGCTGGCCGGCCAAGGGTCTGGCCGAGATATTCCACGAGCACTTAACATCAACAAGTCAACCACTCACATCAAAATAACCGTGAATTCGCATACTTTCTTCGCACATTTAGTGTACTGTAAATATTTCATTTTTAATATACACGTTAGGGAATGTTTCTTGGTAACTTTGAGCCTGATCTGATCTTACCTAATTAACCCTATTGTACCTGGAGGCCCGCATATCCACTACAACCTGGTTGGTCGGGCATTTCTTGATGGGCCTAAATACCTTGGTAATTAACGTTAACATACTCTTCATTTAATACAAATCTAGACCTGTAACCTACCCCTATCTGAAGGTATTTACCTATCAGTGCCTAATGGGGAGCGAGGTCTAGCCCTTTATGCCCCACCTTCTAGCCTTGTTGTACCTGTTGTGTTGTAATGTTAACGACATTAAAATTCTTTAAGGTGCTAGAGCTAGGAAGACAAACGCCAGCATCAGTGCTCCACTAATGCTGTCGTTCTTAACCAGTGTTGTTTAATCTCAAGAGACCTCAAAGATGGACCCTGTGGGAGCGTCTTGGAGGGAGGGGGAGGCGGCTATCTTCGTCTGGTTACCTTCAAGACGGACCATTAAGCCCTTTTTATCAGTTAAAAACACACCGCCAAAAGTTACCCAGGGAGTCTTGGCCCCATATACTACCTCGTTGGAAATTCTTGTCTGAAAAGCAAATCGGTGAGCACTACCAGAACACAGATGAAGGCGGTACTTACCCCTGCAGCGGGACACTTCCCGTTGAGGATGGGGCCAGAGACGTACTCCATGCTGCGGTACAGCATCGACCCGTTGAAGCACATGTGAATATTCTCGTTGAATTTGGCTTCGATGTCGTGCACGGAGTAGGCGCAGACGGCGGAGGCGGCCTCGGGGCTGGCCGTGTGGCCTTGGGACGGAGCGAACACCGCTATTAATATAGGTTCTCCGACCCCAATGACCATGTTGGCGGCCAGGTCGCTGCCGGCACTAACCAGCTTGGCGTCCTGCACCAGGTTGTAGTTAGTGCCGTCGCTGCCTTGGCATTCCAAGGTGATCTCTGTGTACGAGTCGTAATTGGCATCCGTGATGCAGGTCCGCGCCAGCCGGGAAATGTATCCAGACTCCTCCTGGCCCGGCAGATGTGACCTCTTCTGCACCGTCACGAAGTAAGCGTAGTCACTGGCGTTGAAGCCGTACACATACTGCACCAAGAAGTGGTCGCGGTACTTCACGTCGATACGGAGAAGAGACTGTTTTGAAAATGAAAATTCGGCGTAATCCAAGTCGTAGAGGTTTCTTGTGGAGACCGCCGGGACATCGTGGCGATAATCCCCGACGGTAGTGAAGGTGGTGCCCACGTACAGTGCCGAAGACCCGCCCCACTGGTTGTAATGCTCGGGGCCCACGAAGGCGAAAGTTGAGGAGTCGGGATCGTTGGCAGCCACGGAGCGGGGTAGGAACTCTGGCGTCAGGGACAGATTAGCGGTACGGAACTTTTCACACGCTCCTTGAGACACAGATCCGCACATTATGAGCGTAGACGCGTCAGGGTCTAGTACCAGCACTTTGTTCACGTTGTCGGTGAGGACTTGCTTCACGCGGTTCTCTTGTCCACAGCCAGAAGCGTGGCACCAAGGGGAGTCGAACCTGGGCCCTGTCTCCACCCTCGCCTCCAGGTTAAGTGCGCCAGTCTCCAGGGCCCACAGTCTGTTGGTTCCCCCGACATACAGAACACCTGCGTCCCTATTATACACCATGTGTTGTAGTTGTAAACTCTGATTAGCTGTCCAAAACTGTGCCACTATACTGTCGGTGAGGAGGTCGGGCTCAGTGGCACCGCTGGCCCTGTGTGTCCGGTGCCCCGCCCCCCCACACGCAACACACAACACCACCAGTAAGACTAGAACACTCACGCCCACTCCCCGCCCACAACAGGGCCACATCCCTCCTCTCCGGCGGTATGGGCGGCCCGCGGAGTGGCCCGTCTGGTGGTCCACCCGCGCGGGCCGGCGGACCGGGCCCGGGGCGTAGTCTTTGGAGCCACACTCACACATTGTGCGGCGGGGGGCGCTGCTCCCGCCCACGCCCGCCCATCAACACCGCGGAGCACCACTGCACCTGCAACAACAGAGGAACATTATTTTACACATTGTTTAAATCACACCTAATAGTGTCTGGCTTAGCCATCACCATTATAACTAATTATCATAATATTTGCTGTAAATGGCAAAACTAAACATTACGTACACTGTGTGTGTGTGTGTGTGTGTGTGTGTGTGTGTGTGTGTGTGTGTGTGTGTGTGTGTGTGTGTGTGTACTCACCTAGTTGTGTTTGCGGAGGTTGAGCTCTGGCTCTTTGGTCCCGCCTCTCAACCGTCAATCAACAGGTGTAGGCGTGTGTGTGTGTATTATTATTATTAATATATATATATATGTGTGTTTATATATATATATATATATATATATATATATATATATATAAACACACACATATATATATATATATATATATATATATATATATATATATATATATATATATTAATAATAATAATACACACATATATATATATATATATATATATATATATATATATATATATATATATTAATAATAATAATACACACATTATATATATATATATATATATATATATATATATATATATATATATATATATATAAACACACAAACTACAGTGGTATTAACACTAAAATTATCAAAACATAATATGCACTGAAAGCCTTGCTAAAGGCTTTCTTCACTCATATTTCTAACGTACACCAACACCCAGTTACATTGTAATATTTAGAACTCGGCGTCAGCTGTGAGCCCAGAGTTTTTTCACCCTGATGTCCCTGTTCACCTAGCAGTAAATAGGTACCTGGGAGTTAGACAGCTGTTACGGGCTGCTTCCTGGGGGGGAAGGGGGGTGACAAAAAGGAGGCCTGGGTCTTCATAAAAAAAGATTTAGGAAATCATCTCAAGATAACCTCAAGAATCCCAAGATAACTAGATAATTAACATAAAATAACGTTTGGAGGCGGCGGGTCGTGAAGAAATAAGTGAGCGTTTATCAGAGGTCGTGTTATGAATGCGAGGCTCTGACTATGAGGAGCCCAACCACTTGGGCTGGACGGTAGAACGACGGTCTCGCTTCATGTAGGTCGGCGTTCAATCCCCGACCGTCCACAAGTGGTTGGGCACCATTCCTTCTCCCCGTCCCATCCCAAATCCTTATCCTGACCCCTTCCTAGTGCTAAATAGTCGTAATGGCTTGGCGCTTTCCCTTGATAACTTCGTCCCCTCTCGTTCTGCTGAATGCGAGGCTCTCGCTCTGCTGAGCGCGAGGCTCTCGCTCTGCTGAGCGTGTTCCATATATTAGCCACAGCTCTGCTCAGCTCCACATGCAAGAACAGTTTACACTTCCCACTCTCCTCTGACCAGGTGACTCTCCGCCTCGGGCCTCGATAAAGCCATCGCAATACTCCTGAAGCGTCAGCGCAGATAATTCAGTCCGACTTCTATGCTCAAAGAAAACTACTTGAATCTTTGTGTAGCATTCACCTTTCAACTTCCAAACAACATGTGGATTCCTCCAGTGCTATGCTCACTTCATTTCCCACTATCCACCATCCTCACCATGTGGATGGTGAGGCGAGAGTGGGGGGGGGGACTCAAAAACAAGTTAAACAAATGAGTATTCAAAGCGCAAGGGGCAAGCATCGACACACTAGCCATGTGCAGGCGTGAGCACCTCTTTACCTACATGCTTGTGCAAGCCTGAACTCTGAACCTATCCCGAGCAGTGAGGGTCAGTGACCGGTGCCAGTAGGTGACGACCCATCTGCAGGTGGTGACCCAGGCACAGTGTTGGTCTGGGGGGGTGGGGAGAAGGTAGGCAGGTGGGGTGGGGGTGAAAGGACTCGCTGTGTAGTCCAGATGAGGGGAAATGGGTGTTGCCCAGTGGTAGAGGTTGCAGGGTAGGGTAGAGGTGGCAGGGTAGGGTACAGGCGGCAGGGTAGGGTACAGGCGAGGATACACAGGTGAGGATTTACCTACCTGGTTGATACCTGGTTGATGGGGTTCTGGGAGTTCGTCTACTCCCCAAGCCCGGCCCGAGGCCAGGCTCGACTTGTGAGAGTTTGGTCCACCAGGCTGTTGCTTGGAGCGGCCCGCAGGCCCACATACCCACCACAGCCCGGTTGGTCCGGCACTCCTTGGAGGAATAAATCTAGTTTCCTCTTGAAAATGTCCACGGTCTCTTTCCGTGGACCTAGTCCTGTTCGTTCAGGGAATCAATGTCCCCCACACTGGAGGCTCTGACCAGGAGCCTGCTGGTTAACCAGGTTAAGACATCGCTTCTCGCAGTCTGACGTGTGAATCACAGCTCGGTTGATCAGGTGTCCCACCTGGTGTTAGTTCTGGGGATCAGCGTCCTCGCGGCCCGGTTTCTCATCACACTAATCACCTGTGATTTAAACCACGCCAGCCCTTGGGTGGTTTAATCTTTATCAACCAAACCAGGCGAGGCGCGGTGAACGGGGCAATCTTGAGGTTATCTTGAGATGATTTCGTGGCTTAGTGTCCCCGCGACCCGGTCCTCGACCAGGTCTCCACCCCCAGGAAGCAGCCCGTGACAGCTGACTAACACCCAGGTACCTATTTACTGCTAGGTAACAGGGGCATCAGGGTGAAAGAAACATTTTGCCCATTTGTCTCCGCTTCCACCAGGGATCGAACCCGGAACCTCAGGACTACGAATTCGAAGCGCTGTCCACCCAGCTGTCAGGCGCGGTGAAGGTGGTGGTGGCTGTGGCGGTGGTGGTGGTGGCTGTGGCGGTGGTGGTGGTGGTGGTGGCGGTGGCGGTGGTGGTGGTGGTGAAGGTGGCGGCGGTGGTGGTGGTGGCAAGGGGTGAGAGCGGTGGAAGAGAGCGGTGAAGGTGGAGGAGATGCAGCCGCAGCACCACACCCTTGTAAGGACACGCACGCGGCCGTGTGAAGGCTGGTGGTGGTGGTGGTGGTGGTGGTGGTGGTGCAGGTAAGCAGGATACGCCGGACGCGGCTGGAAGCCTCAACATCTTTCAGTGTTGTCTGCCGCCATGGCACAAGGGGGCGGCGACCACCACTGACTGTATACAACACAAGACAAGGAATGGACACAGACTGTGGAGGTCAGCCCGCTGGGGACAAGCTAATCCGGCCAGTTATAACCCCCTATCCACCCACCCCCCAAACCCTAGTGACGGCCACATGGGCCACCACCTATCCTGCCCGGCGCCCCATCCCTCCCTAGCCCCGAAGCATCCAGAGCGCTAGTTGTAGCAACATACCTGAGTAAAATATAGCCTCTCTCTTGTGTTTACCAACAAAGCAACAACTGTGGATAAATTATATTCCTCACCTTTTGTACCAACCCACAAAAGAAGTTCCAAAGAACCTGTTTACGTCCCCACGCACGAAGCAACTGGGATTAGTTTGCGAATATTACATAAACAAAATGTGTAAAATTTAAGTGTTATGAATCGTGATTATATAACAGGCCATAGAAACACCTCCTTGATGGGGTTCTGGGAGTTCTTCTACTCCCCAAGCCCGGCCCGAGGCCAGGCTTGACTTGTGAGAATTTGGTCCACCATTTCCTATCTTGAGGTTATCTTGAGATGATTTCTGGGCTTTCAGTGTCCCCGCGGCCCGGTCCTCGACCAGGCCTCCACCCCCCAGGAAGCAGCCCGTGACAGCTGACTAACACCCAGGTACCTATTTTACTGCTAGGTAACAGGGGCATAGGGTGAAAGAAACTCTGCCCATTGTTTCTCGCCGGCGCCTCGGATCGAACCCAGGACCACAAGATCACAAGTCCAGCGTGCTGTCCGCTCGGCCGACCGGCTCCCTAGGTATAGTCCTATACCTAGGACTTAGTCCTATATCTTAAGTCCACTAATAATCCTATATCACCAGTCGCAATAAAGGACTTGGTACGTGTTGTGGTATCTTTGGGCCGGTTCTTCCGAGGTTGTGAACACTGGTGTAAGGTGGCTGCTGTAATTACTTAGTGTTTTAATCAGTAGAAGAAATAATGGATACAGGGAATGCAATGAGTACAGGGGATTTAATGAGTTTATAATGGTAGGTTGTGGTGATGGTGGTAGGTGGTGGTGATTGGTAGGGGGTAGGAATGGTGGTTGTCGTGATGGAAGGAAATAATGGTTATGGTTTGGTTGTAATTGTGTTCAAGTGATTATGGCGTTGGGGGAGGAAGTGGCACTGGTGGTGGTGGTAGTGGCGCTAGAGGTATCTATGGTGGTGGTGGTGGTGGTATCAATGGTGGTGGTGGTATCTATGTTGGTGGTGGTGGTATCAATGGTGGTGGTGGTATCTATGTTGGTGGTGGTGGTATCCATGTTGGTGGTAGTAGTAGTATCTATGATGGTGGTAATGGTATATGTGGTGGTGGTAGCTGTCATAACAGCAAAAATGAACGCCAGACTGGATAACAAGAACCTTCAAACAAGAGATACCAAACCAATGATGATACTTCCACGACACTAATGCTCTCCAAGGTGGCGCGCAGTTGCCCACTAACACCATTCAAAGATGGAGAACGTCCAGAAAACGCTCATTCCCCAAATCCAAGAACCCTTGAAACACAAACCGAAACTGTCTGCCCGCCAAACACACACCAAAACTACGACGTTGGTACAACGTTCGAACAAGTTTTAACATCTCCTAACCAGTTATAACAACCAATATCGCAAGTTGTAACAACTTTATTACACGTTGTAACAAGCGGAAAATAGAGATAGTTTCGGTTTGTGTTTCCAGGGTAGTTTCCGCTTGTTACAACTTGTAATGAAGTTGTTACATCTTGGCTTAACGTGTTTATGACGTATTAGAACGTTGTTACAACTTGCTATATTGGTTGTTATAACTGGTTAGGTGCTAAAACTTGTTGGAACGTTGTACCAACGTCGTAGTTTCGGTGTGTGTTTGGCGGGAAAGCATCAAAATGATTGAGACTGATTAAAATCCCTCAGACTGTGCTCCTTCAAGCGCCAAAGACACATTATAATACACCTGCGAAATATTAGGACTGGAGCTTACTTGTACCTTACCTGGGGAGGGCTTCTAAAGTTATTCTGCTTCACGAGGCCTGGCTGGGGCCTGGCTCGACTTTTGATAACTTGTTCCAACAGGCTGTTGCTTGGAGAGTAACAACTTCTATTTAAATGAGGCATGAATAGCCGCTGATCTCTTTCAACCAGTTAATCAGGTTACTGATCAATCGGGCTGTGGTTTACATGTCAGTGACGTAATATGCTTTACATATCATATGTAAAGGGATGTCAACAGCCAGGTTGACTAGACCGTCAACCAGGTCAAGATTCATCGGACATTTACGAAACCTGTTCATCTTTCCTCAATCACAACGAGATTGATTAAACAATAATAGCTTTGGGCTGTGGTGACGTTTTGACCCTCGTAAACTGCTTAGCAAATGTAAACAAAACCAACATGATTAAGGAAAGATGTACAGGTTTCGTAAACAGTTGTTGGATGAATTGTTGTGGCCTTTATGAGAGATTGGGCCGCTGCTGGGACACTCATTTACGTAATCACATTAAGGTACGCACATGCGCGCACATCTCCAGCACGCTCGCTAACACACACACACACACACACACACGTACGTCCCGCCTCTCAACCGTCAATCAACTTAGTGACTGTTGAGAGGCGGGACCAAAGAGCCAAAGCTCAACCCCCGCATGCTGAACTAGCCGAGTACACAAACTTAGGTGAGCGCGCGCGCGCATACAAACGGCTTTAAGGCACTACATATCTTTAACAAGAGCCAAACCACATTTGACAAACAAACTCACCAAAAATCCCAAACCCTCGCCAATCCCAAAGAATCAATACCGGAAATGCACAGACAAAAAAAAAACACGCTAACCCTGTTGAACAGCTGGAAAATTCCCAGCCAAGAAATTGTCCAGCTCAAGACGAAGGCGTCTTTAAACCCCCCGAGATGTGGCAACACTTGTGAACAGCAGTTTCAACAAGACGATACAAGGCCTTAACAACCGTCTGGGCCAGCACTCCCCCGTGTCCAACACTGCTCGTCTTAAAGCAAATACCATAATAGAATGTTAAAAGCCTGAACGACAGCACTAGTCCACGCACAGAGAAGCGCAGTGAGATTCAAGGGGGGTAGTGGATCCCCTATATGTTGGGGAAGCAGTGGGATCCAAGAGGGTACTGGATCCCCCATAATATATGTTGAAGCACAGTGGGATCCAAGGGGTACTGGATCCCCTATATGTTGGGGAAGCACAGTGGGATCCAAGAGCGTAGTGGATCCCCTATAATATATGTTGAAGCACAGTGGGATCCAAGAGGGTACTGGATCCCCCATACTACTTACAGAGTTGGGAGCCAGCACCTCAACGCCTTCCACCATATGGCCACAATCAGAGAGCACTGTCTGAAACATCAGAGGTCCACAGCTGTTCAACACCCTCACAGCAAGCATCAGAAATGTTACAGGAACAAAGGTGGATGTATTCAAGAAGCACTTAAGATACGTTCTTGCAAGAAATACCGGATCAACCAGGCTGTAGTGGATGAAAAAAGCTTCCACTGTTGCTCAAGCTATATTTCCAGACCTAATGTCATTTGACCTCTAATGTGCCTTTGTTAATATACTTGTCCTCTAATATATAAAAAGAAGCTTAGACCTTTGGAAAGTTTAGAATGAGCGAAGCCTTTCGAAGCGTCGAGAAATAAATACCCATAAAACTAAGCGAGATGTTCACAATTGGCTTCCAAAGGCAAGAATGAGGAGCACCTGAGTGACTTGATGGCGCGAGGCGGGAACCTTGCAGGTAAGCCAAGCTACGGCTTCGTCTTGTGTTACATACGGTGTGTGTCTCATTATAAGCCGCTGCCAGGGTGTGTCGCGGGGGGCTGGGACGGGGCGGTGTGGTGTGTCGCGGGGGGCTGGGACGGTGTGGTGTGTCGCGGGGGGCTGGGACGGGGCGGTGTGGCGCGGGGGGCTGGGACGGGGCGGTGTGTCGCGGGGGGCTGGGACGGGGCGGTGTGTCGCGGGGGGCTGGGACGGGGCGGTGTGTCGCGGGGGGCTGGGACGGGGCGGTGTGTCGCGGGGGGCTGGGACGGTGTGGTGTGGCGCGGGGGGCTGGGGCGCCATGGCCGCAGCAGGCAAGGCGTGGCCGCAGCAGGCAAGGCGTGGCTGCAGCAACTGGCCATAACAAGACTGATGTGGGCCACCTGTAGGGCTTGGTCGGGTGCCGGGAAGAGAGGGAACCGAGACCTCATAAGGCGGTAAATTAACACCAAGAGGCTCCTGAATGTGCGTATCTTGAGGTTATCTTGAGATGATTTCGGGAGCTTTAGTGTCCCCGCGGCCCGGTCCTCGACCAGGCCTCCACCCCCAGGAAGCAGCCCGTGACAGCTGACTAACACCCAGGTACCTATTTTACTGCTAGATAACAGGGGCATAGAGTGAAACAAACTCTGCCAATTGTTTCTCGCCGGCGCCCGGGACCGACCACGGGACCACAGGATCACAAGCCCAGTGTTCTGTCCGCTCGGCCGACCGGCTCCTTATCAAGCCATAGCCTTATTTTTAAACCAGGATAAGACCGCGAGTACGAGGTAACCAACTAATAGTACCCCAGCCGATCTGCGCCAACTTAAAATATATAATTGGTTTGTCCTCTTAATCTACTTCTGAATAATTCATGTGGTAATATTATTACCTGGAGCATACATGGAGAAACTATGCTCCATTATTACTACTCAATAACAGCCCCATTCAACGCTGCAGAAATTGCTGACCTGCAGCACATGTAAAGATCCTTAACTCCCAGAATAAAACATCTAAATTATTGAAACTGCTTAAAAATGTTAAACTTGCATTCTCTAGAGCGCAGGTGAGAAAGATACGTAATAGTTTACACCAGGAAAACATTACAGTGTTCCACACCCGCATACGGAATAACGCCACGTGAATAACCAGTACCAATGCCAATAACGTTTTTTTACATTCGTAAATATCTATAATTCTAAAGGATTAGGCTTATAATATCAGCTAGTGAGCCTAACGAGCAACGAGGCTCCGTGGCCCAGCCAGGCTCCGAGGCCCAGCCAGGCTCCGAGGCCCAGCCAGGCTCCGAGGCCCAGCCAGGCTCCGAGGCCCAGCCAGGCTCCGAGGCCCAGCCAGAGCCACAAAAGGTATACCAAAAGCTTCAGAACACCAGCCCCCAAAAGGCCAGCTTCCCACATACCCGTACCGGGCTGAATTTTCTGGTCACAAGTGTTAAGTCGACCAAGGAAGGCTATTGTCAACAAACGCGTCCGATACCCAAGAGCAACTCTGACTTTGTCTAACCTCCAAGCCCCCTTTTTGTCTCTTCTGCCCCGCACAGCACGGCTAAACTGACAACAGAATATCAAGAGAACGCGAGCCATTCTTAAAGAACAGGGAAATGGCCTTAGGTGAGTGCTGTAGCCGGACACGTAAGACAAGAGAAGGGGAAGGTGCAGAGGGTGTGGTAGCTAGGGGTCCTGTGTTTCCCTGCCAATACCACGTGTGAAGGGGTCCCACCGTCGTTAGATTTAATTATGCCGGAGGTACTGAGTTATAGCCAGGTGGTGGTGGCACGAATCCCAAGCAAAACAATGTTGAATACACACACACTGTATGTGGACACACTCACTTGTTTATGGCCCGTGCAGGTGGGGACTAATCAAACCGTGCCCACCCAACTCTGCAGTCGTAAACAAATACTTTGGAAAGTTTGATTTAACATATTGTACAGACATGGGAATGAAAACAAACGAGTGTAAACAGGACCTGCCTCACAGGGGCAGCTGGTCTTTCCCTGTTCATTGGCTGTGGACGAACTCTTAATGGCTTGAACAAATCCACAAGGGCCGTGACGAGGATTCGAACCTGCGTCTTAATGGCTTTACTAAACGCCAATTGATCAAGGCACAGTACAAAAAAAATTATATATATTAATTACAAGTTGTCGGATGTGTTTATTAATGTGAAGGCTTTACTGGATATGACCTGATATCTTTACTAAAGTGTAGTGTTTACTGGTTGATACCTGGTTGATGGGGTTCTGGGAGTTCTTCTACTCCCCAAGCCCGGCCCGAGGCCAGGCTTGACTTGTGAGAGTTTGGTCCACCAGGCTGTTGCTTGGAGCGGCCCGCAGGCCCACATACCCACCTGGTACTGTACCTGGTTGATACCTGGTTGGCCCAGCTAAGGATCAAGAAAAGCTCACTGATCGATGAACAAAATTAAGAAACTTCATGAGCAAAACAAAGTGATCAGACAACCGGCAAAACATTCCCCTCGCAGGCAAGACCACAATACATACATTATCTTGAGGTTATCTTGAGATGATTTCGGGGTTTTAGTGTCCCCGCGGCCCGGTCCTCGACCAGGCCTCCACCCCCAGGAAGCAGCCCGTGACAGCTGGCTAACACCCAGGTACCTATTTTACTGCTAGGTGAAACTCTGTTCATTGTTTCTCGCCGGCACCCGGGATCGAACCAGGGACCACAGGATCACAAGTCCAGCGTGCTGTCCGTTCGGCCGACCGGCTCCCTCCGTCTCGCCCAATCCCCACAGGTCGTATTTTTCACGAAATTGACCAATCCGTCCAAAATGCGACCATCAATATTGACGTTATCACCGCATTGCCATTGACAGGTGGATTGCTTGGGCTTGTACGATTCTGGGCAGGGAAACCATTGCACTTTTTTACGGAGTGGCCATTCAAGAGAACGGCCGAGGTAATGAGCTGAAGGAACCCTCGGACAACAGGCTCAAAATCTGCTTGAAACGTCCATTACCTGGTTGATACCTGGTTGATGGGGTTCTGGGAGTTCTTCTACTCCCCAAGCCCGGCCCGAGGCCAGGCTCGACTTGTGAGAGTTTGGTCCACCAGGCTGTTGCTTGGAGCGGCCCGCAGGGCCACGTACCCACCACAGCCCGGCTGATCCGGAACTTCTCTTAGAAAACCGTCCAGTTTTCTCTTGAAGATGTCCACGGTTGGTTAAAAAAAATATATATATAAAAATATCCTGCCCTGGAGCATTTAAGGTCGTTTTCCCAGTCTGAAACAGACCCAGGAACAATTCTGGGATTAAATTTCAGGTAATTATGACTCGGAAAGACCTTGCTCGGGCGTCCTAATGCCCTCAAGCCCAGCAGCATGTAAGGAGACAAGACTGCTGGGAAGAGGGTGAACTCTCTCCTAAAGCAGCCACCTCCGTGATGGCCCTCCGTGTCCTCATCAGCTGCACCGAGACCGTGGGCGTACTAAGTGTTTGGTTACACAAAGATTTCTTGGGCTTAGCGTTCCTCACCAAAACACACGGGCGCACGCACGCACTTGCTTTGGTCCGAGGCGGGAGCAAAGAGCCGAAGCTCAACTCCAGCAAGCACAACTAGGTGAGCGCGCGCGCGCGCACACACATACACATACTCACACACACACACACACACACACACACACACACACACACACACACACACACACACACACACACACACACACACACACACGGGAATTGACAGGATAGACAAGGATAAACTATTCAACACTGGTGGTACGCGAACAAGGGGACACAGGTGGAAACTGAGTACCCACATGAACCACAGAGACGTTAGAAAGAACTTTTCCAGTGTCAGAGTAGTTAACAGGTGGAATGCATTAGGCAGTGATGTGGTGGAGGCTGACTCCATACATAGTTTCAAGTGTAGATATGATAGAGCCCAGTAGGCTCAGGAATCTGTACACCAGTTGATTGAAAGGCGAGAGGCGGGACCAAAGAGTCAGAGCTCAACCCCTGCAAGCACAACTAGGTGCTAGGAGTCGACAGCGCTTAAGGGTCATAGTCCTAAGGGCTCCTGCTCTATTCCCGTCAGAGGCAGAAACAAATGGGCAGAGCTTTTTTCACCTTGATGCCCCTGTTCACCTAGCAGTAAATAGGTACCTGGGAGTATGACAGCTGCTACGAGCTGCTTCCTATTGATGACCCTGATCCTGTACCAGGGAGAAGCTAGGGGGGCCAGGGAGGAGATGCTAGGGGGGGGGTCAGGGAGAAGCAGCTAGGAGGGGGCCAGGGAGGAGAAACTAGGGGGGAGGCCAGGGAGGGGGGAGTGGGAGCCATTATGCGGACGGTAATGTCAGTTCTGTTGTTTGTGTGTTACTGGTGATGGTCTATTGTCGTCACAGCTCCGTTACGACCCAGGTCTCCTGTATGTTGATGGTGAGACGTGCCCGACCCGCGCCCCGCACGGCATACCACAACACGGCCTGGCACGGCCTGGTATAGCGCTGCACGGTCCCACAGGGAACCAGCGTACGGTCCCACAGGGAACCAGCGTACGGCCCCACAGGGACCAGCCTAAGGTCCCACAGGAACCAGCCTAAGGTCAATAGGAACCAGCCTAAGGTCAACAGGAACCAGCCTAAGGTCAACAGGAACCAGCCTAAGGTCAACAGGAACCAGCTTAAGGTCAACAGGAACCAGCTTAAGGTCAACAGGAACCAGCCTAAGTTCAACAGGAACCAGCCTAAGGTCAACAGGAACCAGCCTAAGGTCAACAGGAACCAGCCTAAGGTCATCAGGAACCACAGGAAGGTCTTTGTCCTGTAATAAGTCAACAATGAATTGTTGAATCGAGTCGCCACTGAGCACGCTTTCCAGGTCAGCGTGCAGAGAGGTTCAGAGTGCAAACTTCTCCAGCTTTCCAAAGGGCTTTTACGAATCTGTGCACAGAAATAACCTCACGTGGAACCAGGAGAAACGGCAGGATGTGCAGAATAGCCCCATTGAAATGCAGAGATGCAATAGACACGCTGAGAGAGAACTATCGAGATCAAAGGCCCAACATTCTCCCGCTACACGTAAGGGGCATAACTGGCCGACCCCTCACAGTGTCCAGGAGAGATTGCAGCCCCATGGTGCCCCAGGAGACGAGGACAGAGCGAGCAGCAGCCCCCACGGGGCCCCAGGAGACGAGGACAGCAGCAGCCCCACGGGGCCCCAGGAGACGAGGACAGTGAGAGCAGCAGCCCCACGGGGCCCCAGGAGACGAGGACAGCAGCAGCCCCACGGGGCCCCAGGAGACGAGGACAGCAGCAGCCCCACGGGGCCCCAGGAGACGAGGACAGTGAGAGCAGCAGCCCCACGGGGCCCCAGGAGACCAGGACAGAGCGAGGAGCAGCCCCACGGGACCCAGGATGCTTGAGGCTGTTGAAGACAAGTACATAATAACGGTCGCCTCGAGAAGTAATTTCCCGCTTCACTAAACTCTTCCACTCGTAATTAGTTGAACACGTCTGCGTCTATTTCTCTTTCTGTTGATCTTTATATCTGACCAAAAAGTCATTAATGGTACTGTGTATTTTTTCGCAGCATAAAATCCTTAAAAAAAAATAGTGCTTTTGTGTTCAGAGCGGCTGTGTCTTGAAGTGATGTGTTCCCAGTCTCGCTGTGAAAAGGGTGTGTTTGTTGGGGGGGGGGGATGCGTGTACTCACCCTGTTGTGCTTGCGGGGGAGGGTTGAGCCTCGGCTCTTTGGCCCAGCCTCTTAACTGTCAGTCAAATGCGTACGTGCGCGTTCACCGCAGTTCACATCGGGTTTCGTAATAACCTGTGAACACAGTCACACGGCTTTTGAGGTTTGTGGCACGATGGCCTTGGTTGATGTACGTGGGGCTCCTCTCACACAGCTTCGAACCCAGGTCAGCCTTGAGGAGTAGAACTCAAAACAGCCCTCTCCAGGTATACAGGTACCTGGATTGTACCTGTAGGAGGTTCTGAGAGGAGTTCTACTGGCTCAACATATAGGAATACTAACGTTGATCACTTCCTACCTTGAGGTAGGAAGTGAGGTAGGAAGCTTCCTACCTTCCGCCAACAGTCTTGGCAAAATCCATAGGTCTGTTGTTTTTATACTGCTAGACTCGTACGGTAATTTAATAAATGCTGATGTCTATGGCGCTGTCTGCTCTTATATACTGCCCCGCAGAGGTATTTGTGCAGTAACTCCTGATCGTCAATCAGCAGGTAATGAAAATTCCCAGAGATACGTATAGCCCAGTTATACTCTTATACGTATTATATTAGACTTGGTATAAATATGTGTGAATTTTCACTGTGTGCTAATGTAGACCTGACCAAATGTAAACCGTGTCAACAAAATTATTCGCACACCCTCCGTCACTATGTGATTGAATTCACACATCTTTTCGCACTCACAGACAATTCTATAACAAATGTTCAAGAAATGTGTAAAAATTTAATTAAAAATGATCTGCTACCAGAAATCTCAGCCAAATATCCCCAGTTTGCTAACTGTAGGTAGTAACTGAGTGATTGTAACCTATCCACCGCTGCCCACTGGATGGGGGACGGTGTAACCTATCCACCGCTGCCCACTGGATGGGGGACGGTGTAACCTATCCACCGCTGCCCACTGGATGGGGGACGGTGTAACCTATCCACCGCTGCCCACTGGATGGGGGACGGTGTAACCTATCCACCGCTGCCCACTGGATGGGGGACGGTGTAACCTATCCACCGCTGCCCACTGGATGGGGGACGGTGTAACCTATCCACCGCTGCCCACTGGATGGGGGACGGTGTAACCTATCCACCGCTGCCCACTGGATGGGGGACGGTGTAACCTATCCACCGCTGCCCACTGGATGGGGGACGGTGTAACCTATCCACCGCTGCCCACTGGATGGGGGACGGTGTAACCTATCCACCGCTGCCCACTGGATGGGGGGCGGTGTGCAGGACAAACATATCAATTGTGACACTAGCTCTCATATGGCAGTTGCTTAATTTAGGAACTGTACTTGTGGTCGATCTGGTTGATGGGGTTCTGGGAGTTGTTCTACTCCCCAAGTCCGGCCCGAGGCCAGGCTTGACTTGTGAGAGCTTGGTCCACCAGGCTGTTGCTTGGAGCGGCCCGCAGGCCCACATACCCACCACAGCCCGGTTGGTCCGGCACTCCTTGGAGGAATAAATCTAGTTTCCTCTTGAAGATGACAATCTTCAAGCCTCTGTAACCCTTTGCACTACCGCCCACAAGATGGGTATGGGGTACATAATAAACTAACGTCAATAGGTGTTATCGAGTGTTGTTGGCTGTGAGTGTCGGCGCCGGCCCCTCCCTGCCCCTTACCCAGGAGGACCGTGGGTAATGGTGGCGCCAGGGGAACCATCCCCATCGCCCCATTTTCATGCCCCCATTGTTGCCCCTTTTACGTTCCATTCTACCTATTCATGTCCATCGAAGCTCGCGAGATTCCCCGTGGATAGACGGTTTTTCACGGCGGTGCCGTAATACACTAGTGTCAAAATCCGTAAATGGCCTTTTGTCAATGGCCTTGGGCTTATACCCGGGGTTTTCAGGTTATACAGTGGCTACTGCCCCTGACCGAGGCGGCGCCCTATTGACCCGTATGGCAGGAAGACCTAGGTCCTCTACTTGCCCCTCTTCCAGCCAGACATACTCCTGCCCCTAAGTTCGTCGGCAGAGGCCTGGTAAAGCTATCACAGCTCTGTCCAGTATTGTTCTAGTTCTCCGAGTGTGTTTACCGAGGGTCGGGCGTTACAATGTGAGTTTCCTGGGGTGTGAATACCTCTCACTATATTCACTGAGCCTTAGCGTCCTCCTTCACGCCCTGGGGAGAGAACTCGGAGGGACGCTATTTGCATATTCAAGAGTTGATTGTCATTACTCAACGGATTCCTAGTTTACAGTGTTTTCCCGTGCAAGTTTGGCAGGAGCCAGGATCGGCAGGTCTTCTGGGACACACCAGGTTCTTCAGTTATAATGCAGCTTGCGGCGGCTGGTGATGGACAAGGAGGCCTCGACGAGGACCGGGCCGCGGGGACGTTAAGCCCCGAAATCATCGCAAGGCAACAAGCAAGGCTTCGAGGGGGAAGGTTGACAACTGTTCATCTTCCTGTCTATTAGTGCATCTTGCGTTCGTCAAAGTTCTAATCACAGCAATGTATGTATGTACATATGTATGTAAACATGTATGTATGTATGTAGGCATGTATACATTAATGTATATATGAAAGACTACATCTTTATAAATGTTCCAAAAGCAAGGAGTCTTCGAGGTCATGTGATCGTCTTGAAATACGGTGTTTGACCGCCTTGTTTTGTGCCGCAGCCCAAGCTGTTCCTCATGTCACTGTTCCTTGTCCCGACCTGTCTGTCGTTCACCGTTCCGTCCGCTTCCCTCACACCAAAGGTGGTACCTTTAGCCCTCGCCGGCACAGCAGTCACCACTTCTGTGTTCCCTGGCCGCGATTTCCCGACCCCATTTACAACCTCATTAAAGCTATTGAGGGCGGCGCTTCCCAAATGGGGCGGCTTTTACCCACCTCCACGGACTCTGCCGCCGCCTCGTCTCTCGCTCCTTCATCGGCGCCACTACCACCACCATAACAGTTACCACACTACTGCTACCACTGCTCTCACACCACCGCTACCACCACTACTCTCACACCACCACTACTCTCACACCACCACTACTCTCACACCACCGCTACCACCACTACTCTCACACCACCGCTACCACCACTACTCTCACACCACCGCTACCACCACTACTCTCACACCACCGCTACCACCACTACTCTCACACCACCGCTACCACCACTACTCTCACACCACCGCTACCTGCATCCCGCCAAACACACACCGAAACTACGACGTTGGTACAACGTTCCAACAAGTTTTAACACCTCCTAACCAGTTATAACAACCAATATAGCAAGTTGTAACAACGTTCTAATACGTCATAAACACGTTAAGCCAAGATGTAACAACTTTATTACAAGTTGTAACAAGCGGAAAATAGAGACAGTTTCGGTTTGTGTTTCCAGGATGGTTACCTAGTTGATGGGGTTCTGGGAGTTCTTCTACTCCCCAAGCCCAGCCCGAGGCCAGGCTTGACTTGTGAGAGTTTGGTCCACCAGGCTGTTGCTTGGAGCGGCCCGCAGGCCCACATATCAACCACTACTCAACCACAAATGCCGCTACCACTACACCACTTCTGTTACGCCTACACTGTCACCACTGTACAGCTGTCAAGGACTCACATCTGTCAAGGATTGGCGGCTCATTCTTCGCCGGCTCTGGCCTTCTGCGCTGTTTGGCTCCCAATGTCGAGCATTTAGGGGAGCCGGTCGGCCGAGCGGACAGCACGCTGGACTTGTGATTCTGTGGTCCAGGGGTCGATCCCGGGCGCCGGCGAGAAACAATGGGCAGAGTTTCTTTCACCCTATGCCCCTGTTACCTAGCAGTAAAATAGGTACCTGGGTGTTAGTCAGCTGCCACGGGCTGCTTCCTGGGGGTGGAGGCCTGGTTGACGACCGGACCGCGGGGACACTAAAAGCCCCGAAATCATCTCAAGATAACCTCAAGAAGATAAGAGGCATACCTTGCGATGATTTTGGGGCTCAATGTTCCCGTGATTTGCATCCAATTGAAGGTTTGCCGTGTCCTCTATACTGTCAACTCACATGAAAGGGAGAGGAAACTTGGGAGGGTCTCTAGAGGTGTTCTACTCTCCGAGTAGAAGATTGAGGGGACTAGTAGAAGTATTAGAGGGACTGGTTCCAAATCTTCACAGGGAAATACTTACACGAGACCAGGAGACAGGATGTGCAATATAGGATGCAGGATGTGCAAGATGTGCATGGATGCGTCGCATGCGTCGGTTTAGCAAGAGCATGAGCATGCGTCGGTTTAGCAAGATGTGCATGGATGATGCAGGATGTGCAATATAGCCCCGTTGAAAAGCAGAGATGCAATAGGTATGCCGAGACAAAACTCCATCAACACGAAGGAACCAATTAGCACTTTCCAACACACACCCTTTACACACAAGGAGCATAACTAGTCGACCTCTCCAAGTGTTCAAAACTCAAAAAACACCTCCCAAAGGATACTTGATCAACCAGGCTGTGATTCAAACGTCTGGCAGCGAGCAGCTGCCGCCGCCAACAGCCTGGTTGACCAGACCACCAACCAGGAGGCAGCAGCACCAGCTGCTGCTGCCGCTGCTCATCTCCGGAGCTGACAACAATTAAGCAGATAGGGGGAAGGAACTACGAACCTATCTTCCCCCACTACCCTCCCACACCACCATATTGTAAACAGAAAACAGCAAAAGGTCAAGAGGAACCAACAAAAGGTCAAGAGGAACCAACAAAAGGTCAAGAGGAACCAAGAAAAGGTCAAGAGGAACCAAGAAAAGGTCAAGAGGAACCAACAAAAGGTCAAGAGGAACCAAGAAAAGGTCAAGAGGAACCAAGAAAAGGTCAAGAGGAACCAACAAAAGGTCAAGAGGAACCAACAAAAGGTCAAGAGGAACCAAGAAAAGGTCAAGAGGAACCAAGAAAAGGTCAAGAGGAACCAACAAAAGGTCAAGAGGAACCAACAAAAGGTCAAGAGGAACCAAGAAAAGGTCAAGAGGAACCAAGAAAAGGTCAAGAGGAACCAACAAAAGGTCAAGAGGAACCAAGAAAAGGTCAAGAGGAACCAAGAAAAGGTCAAGAGGAACCAACAAAAGGTCAAGAGGAACCAAGAAAAGGTCAAGAGGAACCAAGAAAAGGTCAAGAGGAACCAAGAAAAGGTCAAGAGGAACCAACAAAAGGTCAAGAGGAAGCAGCACAAGATCGACAAGAACCGACACCAGATTAATACTAACCAAACTGTGTTTAACAATATGGAGCACGCGGCTAGCATGCGCTGGTCTCTTGTTAACAAGAGAGACCACATCTGAACACCAGCGGCTTGTCCTGCTGGAGGTGACAACCCCGATACACCGGGTCGGGCTCCAGCCATTTGTGGGACGGAAGGTATGCGTTGGTGGGGGGGCATGCGTTGGTGGGGGGCATGCGTTTGGTAGGGGCATCCATACCTTACCGCACGGTTACCTTGCGTTGGTTCTGTGAATCAATGCCCCTGCGACCTGGGGTCAGATTCACGAAGCAGTTACGCAAGTACTTACGAACGTGTACATCTTCCCTCAGTCTTTGGCGGCTTTGGTTACATTTATTAAACAGTTTACAAGCATGAAAACTTGCCAATCAACTGTTGTTATTGTTATAAACAGCCTCCTGGTGCTTCCGAGCTCATTACCTGTTCAATAATTGTAAACAAAGCCGCTAAAGATTGAGAAATGATGTACAGGTTCGTAAGTGCTTGCGTAACTGTTTCGTGAATCTGGCCCCTGGTCTCTAAGGCCTCCTGGTTGGTGATCTGGTCAAGCAGACTATTGGGCATGCGTGGGGCGGAGCATGCGTCGGTTTAGCAGGGTAAGAAAGGTCTGCCTCCCAGAGCCCTCACCGCCCAACTGACCACTTGTAAACTATGTAAATCAGGGTTTACGATTCCTTGTTGGGCGAAGCAGAAACCTAACCTTAGGCCACGAGGATATGAACCGACACGTGGCGCATCTCTGTGCGGGCCGCTACAAGCAACAGCCTTCTAGATCAAGCTATCAAGAGTCAAGCCTGTGCCCAGGGCAGGGATGTCAGGGATATCGGGACTATTCCGCTATCAAGTACATCGTATTGCATTGTCATGATTGTGATGCGTATGTCAGCCTCGCCGCCCACCGTGGACAGATAACCGCCCACCGTGGACAGGTGACTAACCATTACATAATGGCCACCATGGACAGGTAAGCGGACGCCACCATGGGGCAGGTATTCTACCACCGTGGGCGGGTATTCTACCACCGTGGGCGGGTATTCTACCACCGTGGGCGGGTATTCTACCACCGTGGGCGGGTATTCTACCACCGTGGGCGGGTGGGTGGCCACACAAACCAGGTACCCACATGAGCCACAGGGACGTTAGAAAGAACTTTTTCAGTGTCAAAGTAGTTAACAGATGAAATCCATTAGGCAGTGATGTGGTGGAGGCTGACTCCATACACAGTTTCAAATGCAGATATGATAGAGCCCAGTAGGCTCATGAAACTGTACACCAGTTGACCAACAGTTGAAAGACGGGACCAAAGAGCCAGAGCTCAACCCCCGCAAGCATAACTAGGCGAGTACACAAGACTGGTCCACCTACACCAGTCATTACTGTATGCTGCCTCACGCATACAGTAATGCGTGGTGTAGAGATTAATGTATCACCCAAGCGGGGTGTCAACTCGTTAAAATACGCCCCACATCGCCCAGTCGCCACAACAGTGTGGGTTTAGTGGCGACGCTTAATACAGGAAGTTGCCATGTGATGAGTATGCTACAGGGAGGCTGGAGCAACAGACAATGGCAACTGGATACCTGGTTGATACCTGGTTGATGTGGTTCTGGGAGTTCTTCTACTCCCCAAGCCCGGCCCGAGGCCAGGCTTGACTTGTGAGAGTTTGGTCCACCAGGCTGTTGCTTGGAGCGGCCCGAGGCCAGGCTTGACTTGTGAGAGTTTGGTCCACCAGGCTGTTGCTTGGAGCGGCCCGCAGGCCAGGCTTGACTTGTGAGAGTTTGGTCCACCAGGCTGTTGCTTGGAGCGGGCCGAGGCCAGGCTTGACTTGTGAGAGTTTGGTCCACCAGGCTGTTGCTTGGAGCGGCCCGAGGCCAGGCTTGACTTGTGAGAGTTTGGTCCACCAGGCTGTTGCTTGGAGCGGCCCGAGGCCAGGCTTGACTTGTGAGAGTTTGGTCCACCAGGCTGTTGCTTGGAGCGGCCCGCAGGCCAGGCTTGACTTGTGAGAGTTTGGTCCACTAGGCTGTTGCTTGGAGCGGCCCGCAGGCCCACATACCCACCACAGCCCGGTTGGTCCGGCACTCCTTGGAGGAATAAATCTAGTTTCCTCTTGAAGATGTCCACGGTTGTAAAATTCTACTGCCACTTAATGCACTTATTATTCACTGTCACCACTTCGACTAACTGTCCGCTACATGCAGGCAGTGCCGGATCAACCAGGCTGTAATACATATATGGTTAAGTGGGTCGCTATACAAGCAACAGTCTTGTCGATCAAGGTATCACCAGAAAACCCTGCCCCCCCCCCTCCAGCAGAGTTGCTTGAGCAAAATAACTCGACCCCGCTCTCCTTGGTTATCTTGAGGTTATCTTGAGATGATTTTGGGGCTTTAGTGTCCCCGCGGCCCGGTCCTCGACCAGGCCTCCACCCCCAAGAAGCAGCCCGTGACAGCTGACTAACTCCCAGGTACCTATTTTACTGCTAGGTAACAGGGGCATGGGATGAAAGAAACTCCGCCCATTGTTTCTCGCCGGCGCCTGGGATCGAACCCAGGACCACAGGATCACAAGTCCAGCGTGCTGTCCGCTCGGCCGACCGGCTCCTTGGCCCCAGGAGCCTGGAGACGACCCGGAGACAAGCCGCTGTATCAAGACGGGAGAACAGTCGCGGCGGAACATTTCCATAAGCGGCAGAAGTGTCACGAGCGGCCCCTGTCACCCCTACTCATAAGAGACTGTGTGTACGCGTGTTTGGCCATTATCAGCCGGCCGTACAAGGGCACCCGGGGCATTAACACCAGCGTGTAACATGTCATCCTCATAACTCACCACGATTACTCATCTTCCTCCTCATCACGTCGCCCATATCCAGGCCTGGGACCCTTGTTCATACCCTGGTCCGGGACCCCATGCCCCATATCCAGGCCTGGGACCCTTGTTCATACCCTGGTCCGGGACCCCATGCCCCATATCCAGGCCTTGGACCCTTGTTCATACTCTGGTCCGGGACCCCATGCCCCATATCCAGGCCTTGGACCCTTGTTCGTACTCTGGTCCGGGACCCCATGCCCCATATCCAGGCCTGGGACCCTTGTTCATACCCTGGTCCGGGACCCCATGCCCCATATCCAGGCCTGGGACCCTTGTTCATACCCTGGTCCGGGACCCCATGCCCCATATCCAGGCCTGGGACCCTTGTTCATACCCTGGTCCGGGACCCCATGCCCCATATCTTGGCCTGGGACCCTTGTTCATACCCTGGTCCGGGACCCCATGCCCCACACCCAGGTCCGCGACCTCCACGCAACAGCCTGGTGGACCAAACTCTCACAACAAGCCTGGCCTCGTGCCGGGCTTGGGGAGTAGAAGAACTCCCAGAACCCCATCAACCAGGTATCAACCAGGTAACCCACACTCAGGCCCTGAGGTCCATGCCCCCACACCCAGGCCCCGAGGCCCACACAAACAGGATAGGCCAACCAATATTCGTAACTGAACAAATCCACAAGGGCCGTGACGAGGATTCGAACCTGCGTCCGAGAGCATCCCAGATGCTGCCTTAATCGACTGAGCTACACACATTCTGTGTGTTCATAACTGAAAAAAAGTTGGAATACCTTCATGAGCCTTTATAAAAAAAGACATTCAGAAAACTTTAAACTTGAGAGCAATCGTAAACTAGTGCAATAAATCACTTAACATATGTTTAACAGATCTCTAACCCCGTTCATGGAGGACAGAATAAAATGCATATTTGCTGATTAGCATTGTAAATGTGTGGCCACTTCTGTGGTAGAACAAAATACGCACTCTGGACTTGCGAGTCCTTCTCAATAAGCACAAAAACTTGAAAAGGCACATCAACAGTACATCAAGAACGCTTGTAGCAGCAATCCCAGAAATACAACAACAAAAATGCAGTAAATAGATCAACAATACAGTAGCAGAGAACAGTATACAATGTACCACAGCATACAAAAAACAGCAGCAACAGCAGCGTCCAAAACAACAGAGGAACCAGACCACCAAGGACAGGACAGCCAACAGGAGCCACATAAGTAACTAACACGCTGGTATAGACAGCTACAGACAGCATCAGCCAAAGAAAGAGGAAGATGGAGAAGATGGGCCGGGTGGGGGCCGGGTGGAGTCTCCGGGTGGGGGCCGGGTGGAGTCTCCGGGTGGGGGCCGGGTGGAGTCTCCGGGTGGGGGCCGGGAGGAGTCTCCGGGTGGGGGCCGGGTGGAGTCTCCGGGTGGGGGCCGGGTGGAGTCTCCGGGTGGGGGCCGGGTGGAGTCTCCGGGTGGGGGCCGGGTGGAGTCTCCGGGTGGGGGCCGGGTGGAGTCTCCGGGTGGGGGCCGGGTGGAGTCTCCGGGTGGGGGCCGGGTGGAGTCTCCGGGTGGGGGCCGGGTGGAGTCTCCGGGTGGGGGCCGGGTGGAGTCTCCGGGTGGGGGCCGGGTGGAGTCTCCGGGTGGGGGCCGGGTGGAGTCTCCGGGTGGGGGCCGGGTGGAGTCTCCGGGTGGGGGCCGGGTGGAGTCTCCGGGTGGGGGCCGGGTGGAGTCTCCGGGTGGGGGCCGGGTGGAGTCTCCGGGTGGGGGTCCGGCAGGTGACTGGAGGCAGGGCGTCATGAAGAAGCTGCCTGCGGTCATAAATCATAGACGCAGGGGACATGGCATCAATAATGGAGAAGCAGCAGCACCGCCCCGGCCCGCCCTAAGCCGGCCCCCCAAACTCCTGCGCCCTCTCCCCAACTCTCGCTCCCTCTCTCCACTCCCCAGCACCCTCTCACCTACCCAATGGTCCCACAACCCTGCTCCTACAGCAGTTACCTGAACTGAGGGCTATGGAAACACAGCCAACTCATCCATCCGGATCAGCCGGGCTGTGGTGGATATGTGGGCCTGCGGGCCGCTCCAAGCAACAGCCTAGTGGACCAAACTCTCACAAGTCAAGCCTGGCCTCAGGCCGCTCCAAGCAACAGCCTGGTGGACCAAACTCTCACAAGTCAAGCCTGGCCTCAGGCCGGGCTTGGGGAGGAGAACTCCCAGAACCCCATCAACCAGGCATCACTCTTATACCTAATGCAGTAAACATTGATGTACCTCAACACCTGCTACTGTTCCCCAACCATACCTACCCCCCCTAATGCCCCACATTCCCCCTCTACACCCCACCACTCCCCCCCCTAATACCCCACATTCCCCCTCTACACTCCACCCCCCTAATGCCCCACATTGCCCCTCTACACCCACCACTCCCCCCTCCCCTAGTATCCATAATGCTTTCCTTAAACACATGGTACCATATCTGACTGCTCTGAACTTCTGGTACGCTCCCCAATACACATCTCTCCACAAAAGGTCATCCAGCGCTTAAGCGTAGCAACAAGTGCTTAAGCAACCATCACCACCGCAATCTTCCCGGCAAACTACCGACAATAAGACTACTAATTACATGCTGCTCTATGGTAATTAATATCATTACTCATTCATGAACTGAACAACTTCCGCTCCTCGCTAACTACCACACTTTAACACCCACAAACCAACCGCAGCAGTAAATTAGTTTTACTCTTGCGCTTCTGGCAGTAATTGCCACAAACAGCCCTGAATACTCCCTCCTAACAACCCCGCAAGCATAACGACCGCAATTAATATTAGCTAAAGCAAGGAACATTAACCGGTGTCAGGGGGTAGGAACACTGCTCGGCCACCGACATCGTACCGCTTCAAACATCAGAGACAACACATGTTGAATTCGTCATTTTTGACGCCTTTGGGTCCCCAGCACCGCTGGAAATCAACTCCCCCCCCCTCAGCACCGCTGGAAATCAACTCCCCCCCCAGCACCGCTGGAAATCAACTCCCCCCCAGCACCGCTGGAAATCAACTCCCCCCCAGCACCGCTGGAAATCAACTCCCCCCCCCCCAGCACCGCTGGAAATCAACTCCCCCCCCCCAGCACCGCTGGAAATCAACTCCCCCCCCCCCAGCACCGCTGGAAATCAACTCCCCCCCCCCAGCACCGCTGGAAATCAACTCCCCCCCCCAGCACCGCTGGTAATCAACTCCCCCCCCCCCAGCACCGCTGGTAATCAACTCCCCCCCCCCCCAGCACCGCTGGTAATCAACTCCCCTCCCCCAGCACCGCTGGTAATCAACCCCCCTCCCCAGCACCTCTGGTAATCAACTCGTCCCACCAACAAAAATTATTACCACGCCAAACAAAAAAATTTTTTTTGGGGGACTGGAAACTATCACAGTCTTCCCCATTAATATTCCTCAACACTTGGAGTCATTCTTCTTATATACATTTCTTGCGGCTACTTTTTATTCAAGGCCAAACGTGTTTGTAAGCACTGGCTACCTTACGATGAGATACGAGTGTCTTATCGGAGCTCAAGGACCCAGGTGGACTGCAAATCTTGTGTGGTGGCCAGTTTAGGTATTCATAACTCGGGTCAGATAAAGCTTGCTGTACACGCTTCCAGCTCAAGCTTTTGCTGGTGCTCACCTGTCGACACACGACGCGTAACTCATGCTTCACACCCCAGCCCTCTAACGCCCACACGAACCTTCACTCCTGAAGCGATTGTATCTTTTGGGCTTCACAGATACATCTAATTCCTGGTTGATACCTGGTTGATGGGGTTCTGGGGGTTCTTCTACTCCCCAAGCCCGGCCCGAGGCCAGGCTTGACTTGTGAGAGTTTGGTCCACCAGGCTGTTGCTTGGAGCGGCCCGAGGCCATGCTTGACTTGTGAGAGTTTGGTCCACCAGGCTGTTGCTTGGAGCGGCCCGCATGCCAGGCTTGACTAGTGAGAGCTTGGTCCACCAGGCTGTTGCTTGGAGCGGCCCGCAGGCCCACATACCCATCACAGCCCGGTTGGTCCGGCACTCCTTGGAGGAATAAATCTAGTTTCCTCTTGAAGATGTCCATCAGCATGAAAGGCACGAGTCAGTCTATGTTCAGTAGTACACACCAACTCTTAGTACTGAAAGATTTAGTAATGGACGCCATTTCTATGGTGTCCATTACTGGGTTGTGATGGATATGTGGGCCTGCGGGCCGCTCCAAGTAACAGTCTGTTGGACCAAGCTCTCACAGGTCAAGCCTGGCCTCGGGCCGGGCTTGAATAGAATAGAAGGAATAGAAGAACTCCCAGAACCCCATCAAGCAAGTATATGTGGACCTGCGGGCCGCTCCAAGCAACAGCCTGGTGGACCAATCACCCACAAGTCAAGCCTGGCCTCGGGCCGCTCCAAGCAACAGTCTGTTGGACCAAGCACCCACAAGTCAAGCCTGGCCTCGGGCCGGGCTTGGGGAGTAGAACTCCCAGAACCCCATCCAGGATCAGGAGGGAAGAAATAGCCTAAGCTACTCTATCCCTTTGATATGTATTTTTTCTTGTCTTAAACATACTTGAACCCCATCCAGGTACAATCCAGGTACCCCCAACAAGGCATGGACAGCAAGACCTTACCCCAGTAGTCACTGTGGCAAGGGCTCGCCATTCCTCTCATCTGAAAGTTCAACTAAACTAAATTTCCCATCCAAGTTACCTGGTGATATTTGGCTACTCCTCTCCCTCTCTCTCTCTACATTTGTCCACTAAAATATTCTCTCTCATCACCATGGTCGCCCTCATCCATCCACTTATTTGCTCTCCTCTGTATCCACTTCCAATCTAGCTACCCACACCACTACCCTACCTTCCAGACCAGCTACCCACACCCCTACCCTACCTTCCAGACCAGCTACCCATCCCACTACCCTACCTACTAGACCAGCTACCCACCCCACAACCCTTCCAGACCAGCTACCCACCCCACTACCCTTCCAGACTAGCTACCCACCCCACTACCCTCCCAGACCAGCTACCCACCCCACTACCCTCCCAGACCAGCTACCCACCCCACTACCCTTCCAGACCAGCTACCCACCCCACTACCCTCCCAGACCAGCTACCCACCCCACAACCCTACCTACCAGACCAGCTACCCATCCCACTACCCTACCTACCAGACCAGCTACCCATCCCACTACCCTACCTACCAGACCAGCTACCCATCCCACTACCCTACCTATCAGACCAGCTACCCATCCCACTACCCTACCTATCAGACCAGCTACCCATCCCACTACCCTACCTACCAGACCAGCTACCCACCCCACTACCCTTCCAGACCAGCTACCCATCCCACTACCCTTCCAGACCCACCCACATTCTCCCTGCCCACCCACTTACTTCTCGCCCACCCAGTATACCCAAGCATGTAATTGGCCAACCGTTCACCGACATACGTAAACAATCACCTACTTAACCTACCTGTTTACCTGCCTCGCCTCCCTCCCTCGGCTACCTGACTCCCAACCCTTCCTTACTCTACCTCTCTACCCCCCCCCCCCCCTCCGCGCCTCATCAACATGAGGGGATGAGTTGTGAGAGCCGCCATGGGTGCATTGTGAACGTGATCAGGGTCCGAGACACCAGTTTCCACCACCGGGTAACTGCCGTGGTTGGTGTCCTAGCTATCTTGAGGTTATCTTGTGATGATTTCGGGGCTTTTAGTATCCAAAGTATAGTCATCGGTACGATATATCTTGTTTGTAAGGTTCTTGTTATCCAACCTGTCATTTTTCTTGCAGTTGTGACGGCTACTTTATTGTGTTCTTTAAATGTAAAGTCTTCTGCCATGATTACACCCAAATCCTTTACTCTGGAACTTATCTTCATTAAATAGGCTTGAGATATGTCAATGAATGGATCTGTTGCAGCAATGACTTATGTCAATTTGGCTATTTGAGACCGGTAGGCACGGCAGGATGTGCAAAATACCCCCGTTGAAAAGCAGAGGTACAATAGGTAGGTAGACGAGGCAGCGTATAGCGGCTCTCGGGCTGTCACTTGTTCCTCCAGTCAGCACTGACAGCAGCAGTACCCCTGCTGCTGTCAGGAGTACTGCTGTCAGGGGTGCTCGGTCCCCCAACCACCACGACTACTACTACCCTCCGCTACCAGCCGCTACAGAGGCAACATTCACGGGAGGGAAAGTCGTGTCTTTGCCAGCCTGTCACGGCCCCGTCCCATCCATACTCCTCCAACATACACCAACACTGGAGACCATGGTAGTTGTGAGTGGGGGGGACGCCGGAGGGAAGAACCGAGGGGGAGTAAGGATTCATGGAGGCGAAAAAGATGTGCGAGGGAAGGAGTAAACAAGGAAAATGTGAGAAATATGTGGAGTGGGAATGGAATAAAGTAGAGATGGCTAAAGGTCTGGAGAAGATGAAGGAGAGACGCCAGCGTCAGCCAACACCAACACTCTTGCACAAATGAAGCCAATGACAGCATAAAGGAGCATTTACGGTTACTTCTCAGAGCGAAGGAAGAATAGGAGAGAAAGTGAATAATGGCACAAAGTATACCAACCGAAGCAAAGGAGAGGAGAGGGGGGAAGGGAAGAGAACTATCAGGAGAGAGTGTCAAGCCATTACGACTATATAGCACTGGAGCCAGAGATCAACCCCCGCAAATACAACTAGGTGAGTACACACACACACACACACACACACACACACACACACACACACACACACACACACACACACACACACACACACACAGTGTGTGGAGGCTGACTCCATACACAGTTTCAAGTGTAGATATGATAGAGCCCGATAGGCTCAGGAATCTGTACACCTGTTGATTGACGGTTGAGAGGCGGGACCAAAGAGCCAGAGCTCAACCCCCGCAAACACAACTAGGTGAGTACACACACACACACTAATGAACCAAATGTCAGCACCAGCAGCGAATTTCAAGGTGTGTGG